TCAATCAGATCTCCAGGGTCAGGCAGACACTCTGAGGACCTGAGTTCAACATATTCCCCCAGAGAAGGAAGTTGGTATTTGGGGGTGGAATGTGGGGGGATGAGAGTAGAGACGAAGGCTTTGCTAGGAACAGGTTTTGAGGAATAACTCTCATCAGGAAGTGATTTAGGCTCATTTTCATATATTGGTTATATATTAGTGCTGAAAATGTCCTTTGCTTCACTGTTACAAGAATTAAGACTTGTAACCCCTAAGAGGTCTTCTGGCCAGAGGTCCTCTCCACTCAGAATTTTTACACAGAATTCCTCATAGGTTGGGCATTTTTTTTTCCTTGGTTGGTTGCTTCTGCTGTTGGAGAGCTCATCACTTAATGAGGGAAGCCGTTCCCTTTTTATATTTCTGAGGCTGTGAAATGTGTTCCTCACCGTAAGCTGTGGTCTGCTCATTCATTGCCCTGAGGTCTGGGGTTTGAGACCACACAGAACGGGCCCATCAGCTCGTGTGATAAGTAGGAGGTGTCCTTCCCCTGTGAAGGTGACTGTCTCCAAACATCCTCTCTCCCAGCTGAACACTCCCAGGCTTCTAGGCGACTCAGGGATGGTGTCATGTGCCTCCATCTTCCTGACCTGCTCTGCTCGTCACCATTTCACAGGAGCAAAGCGGGCAGGTGTGTTCTGCCTTCCCCGTGGCCCCTGCGCTGCCCCCCACTCGTGGTGGCTCGGGCCGCGCAGCTTCTGACCAGCACGTCATCCTCGTTTTGTTGGCTCTTGCTGTTTCTTCTTCTCTTTTAGTCCAAGACAGCGATTTGCAACCTTCTCCATCTCATGGCACTCATAAACTGATTACTAAAAGCACACCAAAGAACTATTTTTGCCCATCTGACCAAAATATAGGTATACTATTGATTGATCTGCAAGTAATAATAATAATAATAGTAGTAGTAGTAGTAGTAGTAGTAGTAGTAATTACCAACCCTCTTTGCTTCCAAAGTGATTTTAAAAAAAATCAGGTGCCTGTACTTGTATGAAGTATTTCTGGTACCAAGAATTAACCAATCAGATGCAACCTCATTTTGCTACATGGCCAGTGACATTCAGCTCTATATTTATGGTTCAAGACAGGGCATTTACACTGGATGGCTATTTTTGTGTTAGCTGTTGTCCTTTTTTTTTAATTTGACAATCTAAGGGAGAAGAGGTCAGTGCCCCTGCTTAAATAGATATTGCATGTTTTAAAAATTCTTGTGACACACCAGTTGAGAATCACTATTCTAAGAGACTTCATGTTTCAGTTCAACCCTGTTTCAGTTCCGTTGAGTTTCATTTTCCTGGCTGTAATATTCTTCTGGAATCTTTTCTCTTAGCCGCTCTCTCAGCCCTCGATGCCGCTGCCTGTTGCTTGGACGTTTTGGAGTGAGCTCTCCACCCCAGTTAGGAGCCCGGTCGTCTGACTCTCCCGCCTCCTTTGCAGTCCTTTGGCCACATCGTGCCCGGTCCGTGGAGACACTCACACAGCCGTGGCCCGCAGGACGGACTCCTTCCGCCTTCCGTGGGAGTGAGTGTGCCAGATGTCCTGCCTGGTGCGCCTGAGGTCTGTCGTTGTGGCCTGGCCCCTGCCACTTCCCTTTGCCCCAGTCCTGAAAAGACAAAGGGCATTTGTTCCCCTTTGATAAAGACTTCAGGAATTTCCCCTCTGCCATCTCCACTTGCCAGTCTTCGATACCTCTGTCTTTTCCAATTCATTTTGAAGAAGCCACCTCTCACTCCCTCCTAGGCATTTAGTAATTTTCTTTGTTGCCCTGTGCACGGGGCTTCCTGTGTTTGTATTTTACTTTTGTGCTTCTCTCTTTCCTGTCTGTCCTTCCCTCTGGGGGGTGAAAGAGCCCACGTCTGTGCCCATTGGTCCCTGCCTGGTAATCCCGCCTTCATCGTGGTGGTTTTCCCGCTTCTCTGGAAAAAGCCAGGCTTGCCTCTGGGGCTTGCAGTGCACAGCCAGGGCCCCTGGACAGGTGTGGTGGTGCTTGAGAGCCCCAGGAGTAGGTGTGAGGATTTCGTGTGTAAACACGCATTTTGACCCATCGTTTGTTTTCCTCTTGGGAGAGCAGCTCCCAAAATAAGCACCTGCGCCTTTCAGCGGTTGGTTCACTGGTGTCCCCCATGCTTGTGTTTCAGCCTTGCATTGCCCGTCCTGAGGACGCCCGGCTGTTTCTCCACCAATATGCATTGCTTCATCTTAGGAGATCATATCTGCTGTACGCTGCAGACTGTTTTTGTAATATGCACCTTTATAAATTGGTTTTAGATTGGAGGTACAGGGGAATGCCTTGCTGAGAACTGAACTTCCAGGAGCCGGGACATCAGTTTCATTTCTCAGTGCCCCTGAACTCTGTTTTAGGCTCAACTGTGGTGACTTCATGCATCTACCAGCTTGGCCACTGTGCCTGCCTTTTACCTCTAGTTCTGAGGTGGGGGGCTTGCCTTGCTTTAACAGACACTGTTGGGACTGGGAATGACCTGGGGTTTGTTAGCTGGGCGGGTGTGGGATAGAAGGGGCTACCCAGGTGATTTTTAGTTCAGAATAGCCTGGCCAAAACAAGTAACAAAAGCATTACTGCAAATGATCACTGTTTCAAGTTCCTAGAAGCTGTAAACAAGCTACAAAGTATTCTTGTTGCTTGGGCCTGTGGTGGTGCCTTCTGTTCCCTGAACCTGATAGATTTTGGTCATTGGCAGTTGCTGGCTTGGATGGATCAGAGTTCCACTTGACTGTGAGAACAGAGTGTGCCGATCAGGCCTTGTGCGAAGACTGCTCACGGGCCCTGCTTCTTTCTTTCTATCGACGTGCATCCTCTTTCTGGCTTGCTCTGTGTCATTGTGTGTGCCTTTTCCTGGACACTCATTGGTTGCTTCCTTTTTCATGAACGGGGCTCCTTCCTCCTAATTGGAGGTAGAACGAGGTAGTATAGCTTAGCGGGTGCTTTTCAGGAGTCCTGGGGGCCCAGTGCCGAGGAGGAGTGTGGCAGGTGGCTGCTGCCAGGTCTGGGGCTCCCACTGGTGTAGTCTCCATGACCCCCACACTCCCCGGAGCTGCTCTCATGACTCAGCTTCTGCTGCCCTCCGCCTCCCTGGGGACCGGCCCCAGCTCAGCTGGCCTGCCTCACTGGTTCGATGAACTTTCCTGGGCCGTCTGGGGAGCTTGGTACTGTTTTGAATCTCGCACATGTTTTCCCACGGAAACCAAAGTTCCAGCCAGCAGCCTTTGGAACGTGGCTAGTTCAGATGGGTTTATGAACCAGTTGTGGTGGGATTTTTGTCTCCAAGCGGCAGAGGAAGTTGTAAACTGGGTGGCAGATTAATAGTACATTTGCTGGTCTCTGAAAGGACGGAGATAATCTGGCTTCAGCTTTTTGGGGGACCTGTATTTTTTGGGGTCTTTTCACAAATAGTTTGTGGAACTATAGCTTTGGTTGTACAGCTACTAATAATAGCATTTCATTTCCTTCTCCTGAAAGGAGAGCACCTACTGACCTCCTCTGTGCCATATACTGTGTGTGTGTGTGCACACATGTGTCACATGTCTGTAGAGTTACTGTGGCCTCTCACAGCTTATAAGTAGAGACAACATGCAGCGTGACTGCGGGGGCTCGAAATCCATTCGTTAGTGACCTGGGTTTTCACTGCAGCGGGCCGGCCAGGAGCCACTGGCGCCCCCTGCTGGGGTCTTTGCCCTCCTGCTCAGTCATCACTGACTGGAGCCAGAGGGAATCCAGGGTTTCTTAGTGAGGGGTTTTCTGTCTCCCGTTTCAAAATCAAGGGCACTGTAGACCTCTTTTAAGAAAGAATAAGAATTCTTAGGGTAGTTTATAAGATATTAAAAAAAATTATACATACACAGCATAACATCGGGAGTTAAGTAATAATTCAGCTAACCACCCTGCTTTGCTGTTCTTTTCTGATTTTTGTGTAGCTCATAATTTCATGTTCCTGAATTTTTGTTTACACATTGTCCTGATATTTAACAGCCCCATAATTTAATCAGAATATCATTCATTTCTCTGTTTTTGTCTATTCAATCGTATCTACTTTTTATTAGTATTGTGAATTTTACTTAAATATTTATGCATATCATATTTCACCTTTTGAATTTTTCAGTTTCTTTAAAACGTATTTCTAGAATTTGATTACTTTTTGAAGAGGGGTATTGTTTCAGTTCTAGAAATACCCATCACACTGCCGTCAGTGTTACAAGAATGCAGCTTTTACTACAGACTTGTCACCGTTCAGCGACAACACTGCCATGTTTTTTTCTCCCTTGGCTAATTTAACTTCCACAACACGGCCCCTTCTTTAACCCGAGTTCCTCCAGTCTCGGGCGAGGCCGACCCAGCCCTGCCCGTCGTTCGCACCACTGCGGCCGCACGCCCTGCGCCTGGTTGGAGTGGACGCACTTGGCCCTGTGCTGTGTGGCCTCGCCCCTTCGCTCATAAACTGGCTGATGTGCGAAAGCGCACTATTGGGCTTGTAAAGAGTGTTTCTATTAGAACATTCCAAATTGGTTTTCTGTGTAATAAGGATATGAATCTTGTTGTTTTCCCCTACAAATTTTAAAAAAACGGGCTAATGTTCATTCTATAGGAGTTAAACTATATACTCAAAAGTCAGTCCTCTGTGATTTCTTTCATGACATCACAGGATTTGGAATTTCTTTAAGGTTATAAAGATTAAAAGGTCCGATATTCCCTGATATGGTTTAAAAATGTAGTTTGAGTAGGAAAAATGGAGCCACGTAAACTGGTCCCTTCAGCCCTGTGACTGACATGATCACACAGCGCGTTGGGTGGGGCTGGGTGCCTGCCTCTGGGCTGCCTCCCTTGCACTGGGTTGGGGGGGCCGAGCCAGAGTGCTCCGTTGGATGCCAGGCCAGCGCCTGGTCCTGAGTGACCACGAGGGGGACCTGGTGTGGGAGTTCCAGCCACCTCCTCACAGTGGTCTTCCTTCCAGCTGTCGCCAGCCCTGTCCTGGGCCTGAAAGAGTGCACCAGAGGCTCCGCGGTGTGGTGCCAGAATGTGAAGACGGCCGCCGACTGCGGGGCCGTGAAGCACTGCCTGCAGACCGTCTGGAACAAGCCGACAGTGGTGAGTGCCCTCAGTTCCGCGCCCGTCCCGTTCTGGCAGCCGTACCCGCTGCCGTGGACAGAGCACTTTCTTTTGCCTCGCTTTGTTTCCCACGGTGACCCTGCGAGGGAGGCAGGACCCCCGTTGGTGGGCGTGCCTGCCCCTCTTACCACGTAGAATGGAGGTGCAGGGTAAGGTGGCAGAGACGGGGTGAGGCCCTCCCGTGCCCACGCCTGTGCTCCACGCTGCCCTCCAGGCCTCCGCGCCCACCCACCTGTCCGTGCCGGGTGAGGGGCCGGCAGCACGTTCGAAGCTCGCACTCCCAGGACTGCACACACGAGGATCGCTTTCCCCCGTGGTCGCTCGCCCAGAAAGGAGATGCGAAGCGTTTCAGACCCTTTCCCCCTTTTTGATGTTTTCTTCTCTGTCTCAGCTGCCTGTTTTGGTCACTAATTCAGACCCTAAAGCTTTAGTATTTATAATCTTATTTCTGGCCATAATCAAACTGGAAAAAACGCCACTGATTTTGTTTTTCATTTAAACTTTTTTTTTCATTTAAACTTTTTTAAAAAAGATTTTATTTATTTATTTTTAGAGGGGGGAAGGGATGAGGAGAGGGGGAGAGAAACACCAGCGTGTGGTTGCCTGTCACATGCCCCCTAGGGCGGACCCGGCCCGCAGCCCAGGCCTGTGCCCCGACTGGGAATCCTTTGGTCCGCAGTCTGGTGCTCAGTCCACTGAGCCACAGCAGCTGGGGCTAAACGATGTTAAAAATAGCATATTAATGTGGGGCTCTTAACTCTCATGGGGAATTCTCTAAAGTGACAGGCCTCGGGTGCATCCTTCGTGTAACCTGGACCCCGTCATGAGCCGCCCAGGCTCTGCTGGCTGCGCCAGCGGGAGGTGCTCAGTGCTTCCTCCGGGACGTGCCGCTTCCTGGGGCGCAGGCCAGGTCTGGCTGGGCCGAGTTCGAAATCTGACACTCGTCAGCGGCCAGTAGGATCAGTAAGAGAAGAAAGATGAATTAAATAACACTGCTCTTTAAGAATTATTTTTCCGAATTCATCGGAACACTGCCCTACTGCCACAATTGCTTTCGGATTTGGTCTCTAATTTGCTCCCAACCTTGGCTTTTAAATACTTCATCCTCTTTTTAAGTTTAATGTGTGTCGGGCGAGGACCTTAGAGCTTTCTCTTTCGATAGGATAGTTTCACGAGTGATGCCTGAATCTCTCTTAGTTGGTCCCATGCACATTATTAGCCTGACTAAGTTCAGACTGGTTTCTCCGAACGCAGCTGGGGTCACCGGTCTTCCTTAATCTCACCCAGGCATGTCAGTTCCTTCTTCGTGGGTCAAAAATCAGTTCATGTCATGAAGGGAGCCCCCCGAGAACTTTGAGAACCAACTGGATTTTCCATGGTCCTGGGCCACATGGGGCCGCGGGTGCCTCAGCTTGTCAGAAGACTTGTGTCTCTGCGTTCTGGAGCAGGGACAGGTGGCCTCCAGGAGGCGGAGGGCGGATGGACTGCGGTGACAGGAGCACTGGTGGCGGCTGGGGCTTGCTTCCCTGCCCCTCCCCCTTTAACTCTGATAGTGACACCGGTCCCTGGTGACGTCACATTGCGTCACCAGTCCTCCGTGGTTTCCGCTGCTTCCATTTGCACCTTTTGGAGCCTGTTTCCTCGCAGAGCTGTTGTGAGTGTTCCTCGGAGACGGGCCTGTGCCGCGGGTGCCGAGCGAGGCGCTGAGCGCTGGGGGTACGAGGAAAGTGCGTCTGTGCGGGAGAAGCACAGTGTCCTGGCCAGTCGGTCCCTCCTCTGTGGCATCCGAGGGCGTCTTGTTTCGGCACCAGGACGTGCCCGTGCGTCAGGTGTGGCTGCGAGTGTGCCCCTGGCCAGTTGGAACGGGCAAAAGGCCGTGCACGGTGTGAGTTGTGCCCTACAAACACCGAGTTGCTCTCTCTCGTGTCCTTTCCTCTTAGAAATCCCTTCCTTGCGACATATGTAAAGACGTCATCACCGCAGCGGACAAGATGCTGAAGGACAACGCCACCGAGGTGAGCCGCCTCAGGCGCGTGTGGCTGTGTGAGTGGGGGCCATGTGGCCGCACGTGTTCAGTGCTTGGAAGCCGCGCCTCAGGGCCGGGGTCCCACACGTGGCGGTCCAGGCCCAGGTGGGGTGATTAGGCCAGGTGGGTGCATTCCGTTTCTGTCACGCAGTTTTTTCTGCCCCATCTTTTAAAAACGTAAAAACTGTTCTTAGCCACAAGCTATACAGAAACAGGCTGTAGGCCTGAGTTTACTCCCCCGCTCCCCCAAATTCAACACCCAAGGCCGATTGTGATTCTGCTGGCATGCCATTGGCCTTTGGGCCTGTTTGGCTACCGCAGCTCACTTGCATTCCCTGTACCTGTGGGGCTGTGGATCGGAGGGTCTGCTTTTTGCCCCTCTGCTCTGACAGCACCCCCTCCTCCTCCCCCAGGACCTCTCGCATGAGGGTTGCTGTCCTCCAGCCCTCGCTTTGCTGGGAGCTGTCGAGGGCCTCTCGGCTCCCAGCCCACTTGTAGAGAGGTGCATCCTCATCTGTCCCTTGCCTGTGTCCTCTCTAGCAAGAGATCCTCGTGTACTTGGAGAAGACCTGCGACTGGCTTCCGAAGCCGGACATGTCTTCCTCGTGCAAGGAGATCGTGGACTCCTACCTGCCAGTCATCCTGGACATGATTAAGGGGGAGATGGTACGTGGCGGTGGGCAGGGCTCCCTTCGGGGCGCTGCCGGGACCGGGGGAAGTACCAGACCCGGACAGAGTGATTAAAGTGGGAAGTCCGTTCGCACATTCGGGTTTTCCCAGCGGCTCTTCGCTGCAGCTCTAACAGCCACAGGGGCTCTGGCACTGCAGACCCCTCTGCCTGCAGCTTGCAAGGGTTGCGGGGTAGGGAGCACAAGAAACAGGGACTCACGGGATTAGAGTGGGGATTACTACCGGCATGATGTTAGTAGGTGCTGATTGGCAACTCCTGCCTTGAGCAAGTGATTCATTTAATTTCTGTGATTTTTTTATCCTAAGGCGTGAGTCAGGGAATGTACTTGTGGGTTCAGCTACAAGGATGCTCAGCCTTCATGCAATAAATATCTAGTGTGTGCAAACCGTGTGCCAGAGGTTGGGTTTTCAGCCATGAGGTAGGAGCCAGCTTTGTGGAATTTGGAAAAACCCTAAGAAAGAAGAGGTGCTTAAAACACTGAGAGGGCCGCAGCCCCGGGACTGGACCAGGGCTTCTGTACGCGCGTGGTGGTACGTCGTGCAGGGCCTTTGAGGCCGCAGTGAAGCGCTGCGGGTGCAGCAGGAAGTCCTCGCGGGCTTCAAGCTGGGGGGCGCCACGACCCGAGGTCCCTTTCTGAGGGTTTGGTCTAGGTCCCACCGAGTGGGGGTTGAAAGAAGGGAAGCCGGCAGGACAGTCAGGCGTCAGATGTACTGGGGCAGTGGAGACGGACAGATGCACCTTTATTTATTTAATAAAAAAAAGATTTTATTTACTTTTAGAGAGACAGGAAGGGAGTGGGGGGGAAGAGAGGAAGAGAAACTTTGATCGTTTGCCCCTTGTGCAACTCCAACTGGGGACCTAGCCAGCAACCCTGGCATGGGCCCTGACTGGGAATCGAACTAATGGCCTTTGGTTCACAGGCTGGTGCTCAGTACACTGAGCCACACCAGCCAGGGCTCATATTTTCATAGAGGGTAAGTGGACTAGACTTGATGGAGGGGGTGTATTCCAGGTTTCCGACTTGAACTGCGGGGAGTGTGGTGCTGAGGCTGTTGCTAAGAAGGAGATGGAAGGGCAGTGGGCTGGTTAGTTTGAGATGACCGCGAACTGGGTGTGCATGCAGGGAAGGGACTAACTCAGAGGCACCAGGCGGCCTCTGTTGTATTCTGCTGGGGAGAGGATTTCTAGCCGACTTCTTTCCCACCAGAGCGACCCCGGGGAGGTGTGCTGCTCCCTCAGTCTCTGCGAGTCTCTGCAGAAGCACCTGGCAGAGCTCAATCACCAGAAACAGCTCGAGTCCAATAAGATCCCAGAACTGGACATGGCTGAGGTGGTGTCTCCCTTCATGGCCAACATCCCCCTCCTCCTCTACCCTCAGGATGGCCCCCACACAGAGCCCCAGCCGAAGGTAAGGCCGCGGGCCTCGCTGCTGGGCTCCGCGTGTGGCGGGGTTAGAGATGCGACGTGAACGGTGTCAACACGAGGGGGCCAGGTGCGGGCGGTCCCCCCCCCCCCCGGGGGCGTCTGCAGCAGCCAGCCCCCGGGCGGCTGTGTCCTGGACTTTCTGAGGAACCTGGGTATTTAAATTAGATTAAACTAACTTTTAAAACTGGGATTTTTAAAATATGCGAGATGCCCTCCCTGTTAGGTTTTACTAAAACCAATGTCAAATTGATTTTAAACTGCCAGTGGCGTTAGAGCCTGTAAAACCGCATTGTGAACTGTTCGGGGAGTTCTGTGCTGGGAGTCCGCGTCCTCCTGGTCAGTGTGGGACTGTGCAGCCTGCCTGTCCCTGTGTCTCTAGGCTGGCGGGGACGTCTGCCAGGACTGCATCCAGCTGGTGACCGACATCCAGACTGCCGTGAGGACCAACACCACCTTTGTCAAGGCCTTGGTGGAACACGCCAAGGAGCAGTGTGACCGGCTGGGGCCCGGCATGGCCGACATGGTGAGCCGTGGGCCTCCGTGGGCCCTGCAGCCAGGAGTGGGGGAACCAAGAAAACCCCACTTCCTGGGGCACCGTGTTGAGTTCCATCTAAGGGCTGTGAGGAAGAGATTGTGCTATCAACTCCCTTTCCCTTGTAATTAGCAAGCGGCTGGAGTGGGTGGTGGGGACTGACTTTGTGGCTGAATATGTTTGTATATGTAACAGAACTCTTGGGACAAAATAGTGGAAGGAGACCACTTTTATGAGGATTTCTTTTTCTCCCAGTAATCACGTAAGGAACAGCACTGGAAACAAACTGCCGTTTTTATCTTAATAAAACTTCTCAGAGCAGACATATACGAGACTCCCCTGTTGGGGGTGGAAGTGCTGGGGTTTTTGGTGTGGGGTAGCAACCAACCTCACTGACCTTCGGATTCTCTGTCCCCAGTGCAAGAACTACGTCAACCAGTACTCCGACATCGCTATCCAGATGATGATGCACATGGTAGGTGGCGGGGGAGTGTCCTTGGTAGCGTTTTTCTTTATCCCAAACTTTCTAGTTTCTAGGAGCTTTGAAAAGTACATGGTTTTGCTTTCCTTGTTTACCTTTCAGTTTAACTAAGTGGTGCCAAGATGATCCCTTTTGACCAGCTGGCTCTCCCCCTGCAGCTCACTGCCTCCCCCGCACCTGGCCTAGCCTGGCCCTCGGCACTGCCCTGGTGCCTTCCTGTTGGTTCACTGGCCTCTGCATATGAGCCGGCCACCAGACAGCGAGCATTTGGCTTTCACCCCGGGCCTCATGGGAAGAGCTGGCTCTGCCGCTCGGCCAGGCCTGAGAATCGCTGTGTTCCAGCCTGAATTCTGAGGGGGGTGTCCTGCTTTGAAGAGTGGGTCCTGAGCTGCTGCTCTCACACTCACTCTGGTGTAACCAGGTGGTGGAGGCATCCCTTTGTTATTAGAACTGGAAAGTACCGGCAGCGAGCCGGCCCCATGCAGAAAACCAGTGTGCAGAGCAGGGCGGTCTGGAGCGTCATTCCACCGGGAATGTGCCCTGGGCTCCGGAGGCCTAATCTACGGGGTTTGGGGGGCGGGTTGCGCTTTTTCCTTTCTGTCAGGCTTGCTTCTGATTATGTGGGATGGCCTATGGTCCTTGAGTTTATCCTCTAACCAGGGGCTTTTCATGCTCTCACTGCTGCAGCAGAGTCGAGTAGTTGAGACCTTAGTACCTGCAGAGCCAAAAGGCTCCCTGCCTGGCCCTGTGCCAGCCACTCAGGGACGGCACCCAGTCCCCGGGGGAGTTCCTTCGGGATTGTCACTCACGCCGTGCCCTGTTCGGAGGCAGCTTACGAGGGGGTTCAGTGAGGGTAGGAAGAAATAAGCCTTTAGTGTGACTTGATCTAGTAAGTGCTTTTTCATAGCTAACTAAAAAATTGTTTTTCTTATTGTAAAAATTACACTGCATATTAATTCTTTGAAAATATAGATAACACTTCCCAAATAAAAAATCATTTGGGGTTTTAAAAAACATTAGCGGTGTCCTATTTTATGTACTACTTCAGATTTTGTAGCTTGCAGTTTTTACTAAAGTTATATTGGTCTTTAAATGTTTCGTACAGTTGGTTTCAAAGCTGCTGCGTGGTGGCCCGTTGAGGGCGAGGACACGATCTGTGGAACCAGTCCCCCGGGGCTGGGTCTCTTTAGCTTGCCCTGGGGTTAAAAGCATGGCGAACATTCTTACAGCCGAATCCGTTTTTTCCCTTAGTCTAGGTGATTGAAACAAGAATTGCTGAATCGAAAGGCAAAGCTTTTGGTAGAGGGTCAGACCAGCCGTCCAGGCTGGCCTTTGGCCCCCTGGGGGTAGGCTGCAGGAGGCCCCGGGCGGCGGAGAGGGGGCTGGGGGCCCGAACCCCTCCCGGTGTACCTTCCAACACTCATCTGTGATTTGGGCAGCGCTGTCTCTTGTTCCATTTTATGGTTTTGGCACCAGCCCGAGGGGAGGGCCTTGCAGGTGTGGTGGGGTCAGGCTTCTGGGGGTGGAGAGTCCTTCCCAATGTGGCATTTTCTTGGGGCCGAGCTGCTTCCCCGTGTTTTGCGCACGATGTGGTGTGTCAGGCGGGGGGATGGTGCCCGCACAGGCTGGAGGGGGTGGCTGGCCCTCGGAGGGGGGCCCGGTGTCTTTAGGACCCATGTGCACTCAGTTGCAGAGGCAAGGTAGGTGGCTGCTTTGTGGCTGCGGCAGCATCCTTACACTTGGGTAACAGCTCGATTGTCATTATTTTAATCTTTTCTTAACTGTTGTGTCCTTTCCTTTCTCTCATTTTTATCTCCGATTTCCTGTTTTTTGTTCAACAGCAGGATCAGGTATGTGCCCGAGTTCTGCTTGTAGTAGTGGTGTGCTGCTCCTGTAGCGCCTTGGCTCGTCTTTTGTGTGTGGCATGACCCCCCGTGACAGACACAAGGCGAGGCCGCGAAGGGCAGGGTCCCTCTCTGTGCTTACGGGCTGGCAGGGGGGGCTTCTGGTCTCTTTCCTGTGATGCAGCGAGTGAGGAGTTGGGGGTTTCATCTCCCCTTCAGGGGGCCTTGTTCAGAGCCCAGGGGGCCAGATGCAGGCCCCCCTCGCGATGACTGGGAACTGTGGGTGGTCCCGAGGTGCCTCAGCTTCCTCACTGTAAGCCTGACTTCTGGTGGGACCTTGTTTCTGTCATGACTCGAGCCCTGCATGTCTTTAGTCTTGTTCTCCATAACCCAGAATGCTTCTCCTGCATGAGCGAATCATTTGCGAATAGTGAGCAGACTCTTCCCGGTCTGCTGGATCCAGAGCATTGGAAACAATCTCTTGATTGTGGCTGCCGCCCCTCTGGGCAGTGGGGTCCTGTGGGTTCCAGAGCCCTGTCAGGCTGCCTGCGGGCTCTGCCGCCCGTGGCGTGGAGTGGGGCACTGGCCGTCAGACCAGGCTTACTGAGCCAGGTGCCCTCTGGGGTCTGTCCTGAGTATGGCCTCCTTCCGAGCTTGGAACTGAAGATTTTTCAAAGGTTTTTTGAAATCTGGTGGGAGAGGACTTTGGCTAAAATATCCACATTTTCACTTAGGCCCCCTCCTGGAGTTACTAGAACACAGCTGATCTGAGACAAAGCAGCCATGCACCTCCTGAGTCTTTGCCTTTTTTCTAAAAAGCTTCCCATATCTTTGGCCCCCTATTATTTTTCCCCACATTAAAGTGTGCCGGAGAGAGGATACTTCAGATGCACTTTCAGACTTCTCCACTCTAGGATTTAATCAATCCTAGAGCCTTCTCAGTATTAAAACAAGATGACCCACGGCCACGGTCTGGCTCTCTTCCCTGAACAGGTCTCGTTTTTAGCAAATCCCGTTTCCGCTGCTCTTTGGTTTGGTGGCGGGAGTCAAATGCCATCGGGCCCGGAGGTGGTTGCTGGTTGCATTTGGTTTGCAGAGTATACAGAGCCTGTGTACCTCCCTTGCTCTTGGCCACCGTATAGTACAGTGGTCAAGATGTTGTCCAAACTGTCTGGTTCCCCGTGGTTTGGTGTCTGGTTGGGAAAGGGGGTAAATCTGGTGATGTGAAAGGGTTCATTCATTTGGGTGACTGGGTTTTCACGTGTACCGTGTGTATGAAATTGTGAACATAGTATGTGGTTTTTAAAAAAGCCAACACTTCCCCTTAATGCATTATTTTAAGTGTCCTGCCATCTCATGATCTGGTGTGGTTTTAGTTCTAACACACTTGGCTTTCTGTTAGTTTATGGGCATAATCCTCTAGAAAGAACATAGAGTTTACTTCCTCCCGAGCTCAACTGAAAAGTAGGTTCGAAAGCAGGCCAGTGTCCTTGGAGGTGATTGGTCCCCCATTAAGGGTGCTGGGAGTCTGGCTCCCCTGGGTGCCCCCTGGTTGGAGCAGAGAGCGCGGTTCTGTCTCATCTCCCCTCAGAGCTTGGCGTGGCCTCTTCCCTTCTGTGACACTGGCCCGTCTGCATTTGCATGAGCTCATTTAGACTTAATATAGCATCTTCACTTGTCCGGGCTGGGGTGGGCAGTCAGCCCTTGACATGGGGACCAGAATGCTCCCTTAGCGCCCTGACCGTTGTGTACAGAGGGTGGGACTAAGGGGTGGTTGGTGGGGGCGTACATCTGACCGCTTTTTCTGTACTCTCTTCAGCAACCCAAAGACATCTGTGGACTGGTTGGGTTCTGCGACCAGGTCAAGGAGGTGCCCATGCAGCCTCTGCTCCCTGCCAAAGTGCTCTCAGAGAACGTCATCCCTGCCCTGGAACTGGTGGAGCCCATTAAGGTGCCTGGTGTCATTGTCTTGTACTGGCTGGCAGCGTGCTGAGCTCATTTATTTCCTTGGTTAAAAACCCTCGGGCTCATGGGATCAAGTCTACATTAGAGCACGTCACTCAAGGTCATTTTTTGGTGCCCAGCCCCAACCTGACCTGTTTTGATGTGCTCTGTGCGGCCTCCCTCACACCTTTCCAGACGCTGTAGCCATTAGTGCAAGCTGGGTATCCCACCCGGACTACCCTGCAGCTTGAACAGAAGTCTCTCGGGGTGTGCTGTCCGCACGCACGAGTGTGTTTTGTGTCACTTGGTGAAGAGCCTCCTTCATTCCGCGGTCAGTTTATACTCATCATGCCTTGTGGGTCAGGCAGTGTTTTAGAGGTCGAGGCCCAGAACAGCCCGCCTCTGGTGGTGAACAGGACTGTCCTGTTTGTGAGGCTTGTGGCCTAGTTCTTATGGGCCCAGGTCGCCTGATCTTTGCTCTGGCATGTGCGTGCACTTCTCGTTCCGGAGCTCCCCGCGTCACTCCCCTCTAGCCATCTTCTCCCTCCACTGTCTTCTCTCAGCACGTGCGGCGTGAGGACCACAGGAAGGGTCAAGGTGCCTGCCCCACATCCCCAGCTGGGGTGCTCGTAGGCCCTGGCCTACCCAGCGGACATAATAATTGGCCGGAGAAAACGGAGAGTTATAGCTTGTATTCTAGTCACATGTAGCTACTTAAATTAAGTAAAATAAAAAAAAAAATCAGTTCCTTGGGGACACTAGCTACATTTCAAGTGCTTATTAGATCCATGTGGCTAGTGACTGCCGTATTTGTTGGAGGAGGTGGAGATGGCTTCTGTGGTCACAGAAAGTCCGGGTCAGCAGTATGGCCTCATTAAAGGCAGGCTCTAAAAAAGCAGTTTCAAGTGTTCATGAGACTTGACGCCCAAGAGCAGACCTGAAATGTGTTTAAAACTGGCTTCTAAATCCTCACTTTGTTCCTGCTCCTCCACCCACCCCCTGGGGTGGACGCTGAATGAAGGAGTAATCGTAACCAAACAACATCACGTGGGCAGCTCTTTGGGGAGGGGGCCAGTGTCACTGCTTGCACTGAAGTATAAATTCTGGATTGGGGAGGCGGGATGGCGGGAGGTTGTGGCAGAGAACTAGCCAGGGGGAGGGGTCTCCCGTCTCACGAAATCCAGAGAGACTGGAACTGAGACCCCGGGGAGGAAGCCACACCTTATTCTGAATTCAGTGGGAAGCGGCCCTTTGTGACACCAACCTGTCCTTGGCCTCTGTGTCCCCCTCCTTAAAAGGAGCAGGACCAAGGGGTAAGGTGAGGGTCTCAGCATTCAGGTAACTTTTTTTATCCTCTGAACAGAAGGACTTGGTCCAGGCGAAGCCTGATGTCACCTGCGAGCTGTGTGAGTACGTGGTGAAGGAGGTGGTCAAGCTGATTGACAGCAACAAGACTGAGGTGTGTGGATTTCTGGATGCCGCCTTCCTGGCAGGGGGAGCCCTGCTCTCTCCTGAGCCAGAGTAGCCTTGTGGGAGAACCCAGCAGAAGAGGTTGGCGTGGCCCTTGCTGGTGGTGGCCCCCAGCCTGGGAATCTGTGTGACCTCTTCCCCGGGGCTGGGGTGGGAGGAGGCCGCTTTGCCCTGCTTTGTGGCTCTTATGGAGGAGACGGCACCTTGCTGCTGACTGGGTTCCCGGTCGTGTTAGCATTTGCAGAATCTCACCCACCCCTGCTTAGCTTTCCGTCTCCCCACACGATTTTCTTGTGTTTCAGGAAGAAATAATTCACGCTTTTGATAAAATATGCTCAAAACTGCCCACATCCTTGTCGGAAGAGTGCCAAGAGGTGGTAGACACTTACGGCAGGTCCATCCTGTCCATCCTCCTGCAGGAGGCGAGCCCGGAGCTGGTGTGCAACCTGCTCCACCTCTGCACCTCGCAGAGACGGCAGGCGCTGACCGGTGAGCCCTGTGGGGGGAGGCCGCTGGCCCCTCTGGGGCTGGGGGGGCCTCGCCAGCGCTGAGCCTGTGCTCTCTCCCGTAGTGCACGTGGCCCAGCGGAAGGACGGTGGCTTCTGTGAGGTGTGTAAGAAGCTGGTCGGCTATTTGGACCAGAACCTGGAGAAAAACAGCACGAAGGAGGAGATCCTGGCTGCTCTCGAGAAAGGCTGCAACTTCCTGCCTGACCCGTATAATAAGCAGGTGTGCCCGGGCTGTTTCCTGCTGGAACCAGAGCCTCCCCGGGGAGTGCGAGAGTGAACCCTTCACTGGTGGTGCCCTTGCCTACCGTTCTGGAGCCACTTCTGCCTGTAGAAATGGGGTCCAGTGAAATTTTCTTAGAGACGATCTGTTGGCTCAGATGGAGCCACTGGGGAAGAGACAACATAAATGAATGAGACCGAGTGTGAGGAGGTGGCGCCTGGGAAGGGAGGCCCCGGGGCTGCTGGGTTGGCAGTGTCGGGCATTCTTGTAGAAGAGCATGTCCTGCCCCCTCCTTTTGTGCCCCCACTCTGCTTGGGCACACCTAGACCTGGACCCGTGTCCCTGTTTGCTTCCCAGTGTGACCAGTTTGTGACCGAGTACGAGCCCGTGCTGATAGAGGTCCTGGTGGAGGTGATGGAGCCGTCCTACGTGTGCTCGGTGAGCTCTGCTGGGCGGCGCGACCTGGCGCGTGCTGGGGGACCCTGGCAGGCCCTCCGAGAGTCTTGGCCGTGGGGCACAGCCTCTGGGGCGGGAGAGCCCAGAAGAGAGAGAGCCAGGTTTCCAGGCCCCACCACTTCACTCAGCAACCTCGGTGTTTTTGAACAAGCACATCAGAGTTCTGATTCTCGAGGTTAGAAGCTGGTAACTTCAGCTTGAAAAGGCTTGTTTGGGCAGATCTAATTCTTCCCCTGTTGCCCTTTTGTCACCAAACAGAAAATTGGGGCCTGCCCTGCAGCCCGTAAGCCTCTTTTGGGAGCAGAGAGGTGTGTCTGGGGCCCGAGCTACTGGTGCCAGAACATGGAGACAGCCACCTCGTGCAACGTGAGTAGCCCAGCACCCGCGCCACACGCCTGCTTTTTGGGCAGGAGCCTCCAGGACAGGCTGTCTGCCGTGTCTTTATGTTAGTGGGGAACCAAGGTCAAGAGAGGCAGTTAGGCTTACTCGCAGCTGGCTGCCTGGCGAAGGCCAGCCCAGCTGCGTTCTTGTCTCTGAGGAGTGAAGAATAAGTGTGGATATTTTTGTTCCTGCTTTCTTGCTTTCGCCTCTACTTCCCTTTGAGAGGGTCAGGTTTGCACGAGGGGCCCCCACGGGTTGCACAAGGCCCGTTGTCTTCATTGCCGCAGTTCTTGCATAAGTCCTCATGCCCCTCGGTCACTTCTGCCCTGGCTGGAGCCTGGCCTGAATCTGTACCCAAGGCCAAGCAGAGCTGTTCTTGAAAGGCCCTGAGAGTTGGCACCTGCCCAACAGCCCCAGGGTGCTGTGGCACCATCCTGGTGGGTGGCTGGCCACCAGGTGGGTGACCCACACTACTTTCCTGGGTGGGGATGTTTGGACCTGTCTTTGTTGCTTAACGTTCTTTTGCGCAACTTTTTCTTCTTTGGGGTGGGGGTGGGGCCGACTGCTGCTTTTGGGGAGGTTGCATCATTTCAGTCCACTGTAGGGAGGGGTGGTGAGGCCTGTCCTGGCTGTGTCTGGTGCCTACCTGCAGCCAGGCCCCAGCCCGCGGCTCGTCAGTGGAGGGGTGGGTTTCTGCTGCTGCCCTGGGTGCATGTGCCTGGGGTCTGTCTCTCAAGGCCCGAGCTGGACTGTACCTCTGACTGGGGTGAGGGGTCCTGCGTGGGTCCTCCAGCGTGGGCTGTCCACTGGTGCTAGGGCTCACACCTGTGACTCCCTGCCTGGGGGTTGCTCTGCAAAACGCTCCATTGCTTTGCATCTACTCTGCTGGATGCTGTTCTTTTGAGTCCCCAAAACTGATTACCTCATGAGATGCTGTCCTGGGTCTTCAGTGTCTGGTGCCATCCAGCTAACATAAGGCAGAATGAACAGGCTTCATTTTGGGGTGATGCCTGATGCACGAATGGTGGGGAGTGGAGTTTGCTCCTGAAGATGAATCCGGTTTTCTCTCTCCTGTCAGGCTGTTGAGCACTGCAAGCGTCACGTGTGGAACTAGAAAGAATGTTCCATCTTGGAGAACCTACTGCATCTGTTCCTACTTGTGTGTCTGGAGGAATGACCTGTCGACTTTGTTATAACAATAGGCCCCTCCCCCGCTCATTTCTTATCTCCCTTATCAGTAGCCTTGCCATCGTGCAGCAGTGCCCAGCCCGCCCTGACATAGCTGCTTTGGTGTCCCCTTTCTTTCTGCTACATGGTTAATGACACACTGCGCCCTTGCATGGTGGTACCGGGATGAGGAAGGGGCCTTGAATGCTGGCAGGACCTCAACCCGAGGAGGGTGCCTCCCCGCTTCCTGGGCCTCTTGGCTGCTAGCCAAGCAGGCAAAACAGGCAGCTTTAAAAGATTAGAGGCTCAAAATGATCAGGCTTTTCACACCGTGTAGCTTGCACTGATAGATTTTGGAAGGGCCACTCAGGAGACCTGGGCGGGGTTTGGGTTCCCTGTGCCCGAGTGAACCTTTGATCCAGCTTTCCTGTGTCATTCCTGGTGATGCCTTGTTTAGGGTTGGGTGGGGGCGGGGAAAGTCTGCCTGGATGCGGCCTCTTAGCTCTGTGTGGACGTCTGGTGGGCCTGGCTTTTGTGCGTGAACGTGTGCGTGGTGGTGACACCCTCAGGCCTGCTCTGCGCCCTGCTCTGCTGCCCGGGGCCCTCCACCTCTGACCCATTTCAGAGCTAATTCTTTTTGACTTTGACATACATGTGGAAGACAAGCCTCTGGCTTCCAGGTAGAGGGCCTGCTGGGGGCCGTGTGGGGCCTCGGCCTCTCTCCGCTGTGGCCGAGCCTCCCGCTGCACCTCTGTTGGCTGGGAGACAGCAAGACCTGCAGTTGCCATTCAACGGGCTTAACAATGTTTTTGTTTTGCACTTGACTTTCTGTGATTTAACAATAAAGCCTGGTCAATCCGATCTGAGTGTTTCTGTGATACCTTGGCCAGAGGTTTGGTTTCTGATTAAGCTCTTCAAGGCCATGGGCCTATAGGTGGGTGCTCAGCAGTCCTGTGGCACCTCTTGGTCAGAGAAAGAAAGCAAAGCGGGTAAAGAAAGCCCCCCGCCTTCCCTGAAATACCCGGGGCCGGGTTGGGCCCAGCTGCTGCGCCTTCACCCCAGCTCCCCCCGCCGCCCGAGACCAGCCACGCGGTCGTCTACCAGAGCGAGTGCCAGTTCCTCATGAGCTGCTTTTCTTTTTAAAATTCAGACCATTCCAGAAATGTTCAGTGAGTACCAGTGAAACAAACCAAGGGGAAAATATTGCGGGAATAACTTAATTTAAAAAGGAACACAGATGAACACTCTATATTCAAAACCCAAGGGAATGTCAGTCATTTTTCTGTATGAGCTGCGCACATTCGGGAAGCCAGTGCGACGGGCAGTGTGGTCTGTGGGCACAACCGTGTCCGTGTGGGGAGGCAGAGACCACTCCCTGCCCCCACCTGGATGTCCAGCCAGGAACGTGGCAGAAATGCAGTGAGAACGGAAGTCGGAGTCGGGCCCTGTGGGGGAGGGGGCCGGCCGGGGTGGGGAGGGCAGAGGGCCTGCTTGGCCTCTCAGCTCAGCTCGGGCTGAGTTGGTCTTTCAACTCCTGGTCCCCCAGTGACACTCCTTACCTCGTCCTTAGACTCTTAACATTTTTGTTTAGTTTTCTTAAAAAAATAACAAATTTTGTGAAGGTAGAGATCAGATACTGAATGAGTGCCTGGCAGAGGAGGAATCTGAGCTGCCGATGCAGGCTGCCGCTGCCCCACCCACCCGAGGCCGTGAGCGGGGTCGGCCAGGAGGGGCCGCGCCCCGTGGTCCCGGTGCCACGCACACCGTTGAGGCTGTCTGTCTCGTCATAGCTCCGTGATCTCCAGGGGGCTCTCCATGATCACGTCGCGAAGTTTGTGCAGGGGTGTGGATTTGGCGGACTCCGTGCGGGCGTTGCGCTCGAAGGCGCTGGCCTCAGCAGCTGTCAGCGTCTCCAGCGAGCGGCCCAGCCCCTTCTGGTCGTCCTCGGGCAGGCTGTTGAGGTCGGTGGCCAGGAGGGTGCCTGTGCTGCCGTGCACCAGGTGCAGTCCGTCGGGTCCCTTGAGCTCAGGCTGCGGCTTGTGGCAGAAGCGCAGGCTGCCTTGGCCTGGGCTGCGCTCCCCTGGCTCCTCCTCCAGCTCCGTCTGGATCAACTGCAAGAGTCCAGGGCCCGCCACATGCTCAGAGCTGTGCGCAAGGGGTAGCAGGCGGGTGGCTCCGGAGCCCTACCTGCTGCAGTGTGCCCGTCTTCCCCCTACTGCACACGAGGAACTCTGGGCTCGTGTGGAGGGCCTGGACGTCCAGCCTCCAGCAACGTTTCTCACACGGGGCACGGAACCGGGGAGACTGGTGCTGTGGATGTGTTCTTGGGAGTACGGGCTCCTGTGAGCCTTGAATTTTGTGTGTTCCCTTTGATCTATAAAAACCCTGTGATGTAGCTATAGTGTTGGGTTTGTGATCGAGTTGGTCTCAAGCAAGGTCAACACTAGTGTCCCCATGTGAAGTTGGAGGGGACCAATGAGGTGCAGTGGACCCACAGGTAGCGCTTTTGTTCTGTGTGGGACCCAGCTTCAGCTCATTTCAGTTGAGGACACTGGCCCATCTGGGAATCTGGGTTTTAGATAAAGTCTAGCACTTTATCACCGTAGGCAAACAAAGCATACATACACGTATTTGACCCTATTGCCAGTTTCTTTAAATGACATCACCCCATAAAGATATGTTCTTGATGTTCCTCATATCTGAGAAACACTTCCTTATGCCCACCCACGCGTAGAAAGCCCTCTGCAGAACCCAGGAAGCAGAGCCTGCGGCCCCTCTTCCGTACCCCTACCCATTGCTGTCTCTTGGTCTTGGCTGCTAAGCCCCAGGGACTCTGAGGAGGAGGAGGGTAGCAGGAGAGCTAGAGAGAGAGAGCACCCCCAGGGCTGGGGCACGGCACACAGCTCCCCTGCCCTCCCGGCTACCTCGGAGATGGAGGAGTGGCAGGAGGAGGCTTTTTGCACCATCCGCTGTGCAAAGAGCTTTTTGAGCCGCAAGTAATCCTCCAGGACCACCTTCAGCAGCGAGCCCTGGGGGAGGGAGAGGGTTAACCCCCCACCACGGCCCTCCCTGGCCTCCCCACCCCTTGTTCACTCCCATAACACAGAAGGGGGCCTTGGTAGCTGACTGGGAATCTCAGAGGCACAGGCCTCTAACCCTAGTGCAGAGGACCAGGAGCAGAGGACCAGGAGAGAGCAGGGACCAGCTCTCAGTGGTGCCCTGGTCCTAAGGGCACCTCAGGCCGAAGCAGCCCCTGGTCAGCCCCAACGCCCAGGTCCCTTTTTGCTCTGGTGTTCTTGCCCCAGTGGAGGGCAGGTCTAGCTGAACCTGGAGGTGGAGAAAACCCTTCCCTCCCTGAGTCTTCTGGAGCAGGTCCAAGCTTAGCCAGGGGTCTGGGGGTGGGGGTACAGGAGGAGCCTGCAGGGAGGGCTCACCTTGATGGGCCCCTCCCGAATGATCTGGCCCAGCTTGGCAATGTTGTCGTACTCCTGGATGGCTGCCCGCAAGTATCGGTCGTCGTCAGGTTTCACTGCTGCGGGCTCACGCCCGAAAGTTCCCTGGGGACGAAGGCTGTTAGCTGCACCTGAGGTGGCGTGTGCGTGCACATGCACACGGTAGGGAACCACCTCCTAGCAAACAGCTCCCTGGCCAGTGCTGGTGAAGACCGAGCCTACCTCTACCCTGTCCCTCGTGATAGCCCACCCTGCCCCTGGCTCAGGCCTGGCTCACGTGGGTGCGGGTGGGGCTGCTCCACAGGTCGGCGATCTCACTCAGGTTCTCTGGCAGGTCGTCCTCGTGCTCAGCCTGGGCAGCCAGTTCCAGGTTCCGGCAGAAAGGATCCAACCAGACTGGGTTGGCCCTGCAGGTGGGGAGTGGGGTGGGGTGAGGCTGCGAGGCTCGAGTAGACAGAGGCTCTACCAGCCTCACCCCTCACCCCTTCCTCTTTCCCTGGCCCGCTGGCTCTAGTGTCTTGCACAGAATAGGGGTTTAGGGGCCAAAGGTAGGCCCCCTGCCCCATGGCACCTGTGGGTGTGTCCCCCCCCAGGGTCCCACTAGCACCAGGACAGGACAACATGCCCATCTGAATGAGCTTCGGTTTGGAAGCCTTGCTCTGTACCCACCAACCAAAGTTAACTCCCTGCCACCCTTGAACTCGGGGGGCCTATCAAGGGTGGGGAGCCCAGTTTGGTGAGTTTCTGAGGGTGGAGAGAGTGGTGAGGCTAGCCCACCAGGGGGCGCCAACACCCCAGGTTTCAGTGCTTTGGAGGCAGCAGGGAAGTCGCTGCCTCTGCTGCTGCCTCTGTTGGGTCCTTGGCAGGCCTGCCCAGAGGGCCCCAGGCAGGGCTCGGGGCCGCACTCACCCGTCAAAGGAATACTTGTTGGTGTTGGGCATGTCCATGATGTCGATGAAGCCGCGGTTCCCTGCAGGGAGCGGTTGGGGGCATGGAGGGGTGGGAGCCTGGGCCCAGTCCAGGGCCTGTGAGTTCCCCAGGAGCCCCTGCTGCCCTCTGACCTCCCCACCCATCACAGCCCTTGCTCACCTGCGGAGCCAGCCACTATGGCTTTGAGTTTCCGCTTGTGTCTAGAGAGAGGCAGAGAGAAGCGCTGGTAAGAGAGGCTGGGACTGGGCTGGCCTCTCGGCACTGCCTGCCTCCCCAGCTTCCCCAGGAGCAGGCTGGGCGGCCAGTCTCAGGGCAGGGGCGCAGGGGCCACTCACATGGTCCTGTAGTACCAGTTCATGAGGATGAAGAGCATGGCAGCCAGGAAGAGGAGAATGGCCAGCACAATGATCGCCATCTGGGGAAATGGGACCAGGCGTGAGCGGGTGAGAGCCCCCAGGGTGGCAGGGGGCGGGGGGAGCAGGTGCCACCCAGGGGTACCTGCAGGGAAGACATGTCGTCGGGCAGCTGGATGGAGATGGCAGGCTGCACGTCCAGGACGTTGTAGTTGCGGAAAAGATTCCGCAGCTGCTCCTTGTTCTCATCGATCATCTGGATCACCCTGGGCAGGGCAGGGCGCAGGTGCCTCAGCCCCCACCCGCGGCCGTCCCCGAGAGCAGTCAGGCCGGTCTGCTCAGTTCCTGCTTCGGACCCCTAAAGTTCACCCCCACCCCCACACCAAGCCTTGGACGATTGAAGCCCACCCAGCTAGGATAGCTTTGTGTCTTACAGGGTTCACCGTCCCTTCATACAGGATCCTGTTTGATTCTCACAGTGCAATGACCCCATTTTACAGATGGGGAGAGTAAGGTGCAGACGGGCAGAGCTCTGCTCATACCCACATTGTTCTCTCGGGAAACTGCCCTCCTCCCGGGGAGAGTGCCACACAGCAAGCAGGCCTGACCGGGTTGTCTGTGCTTCTGTCGGGGGGGCCCCTCCCCAGCTCTAGGGCCGGGAGGCGGACCGACAGTCATCACGGACCACCACCCACCGGTCCACGTCCAGGATTCGGTTGGTTTCTCGGTTCACCACGTGGATGAGCAGCTCTGTCTGTGCGAAGTTCACCCGACCCTTTGTATCCACGTGGAACTAGGCAAGAAGGGGCATCACAGGGTGTGGTGCGTGTAAGGGATGGGCTGGGATGGGCAGGCCTCTTCTGAAAGCCCCTCCTGCCCCGCCTTACCGCTAACCTAGCACTACCGAGTGCTCACAGAGGCCCAAGATGATGCCCATCACTTCACCACGCTGCGCCCCATTTTACAGGTTAGAAAACGGAGGCCCAGAGACCTGGAAGGACATTCTCAGGGCTAGACAGGTAGGAAATGATTGATGGGGCACATGCCCCTTCTCGTGCCCCTTACTTCTCCACAATAACCTGTCTCTCCTAGTGGCCTACTGCCCCTTCTCCCTCTACTGCCCCCA